CCTCCCCCTCCCCCTCCCCACTTTTCTGATAAATCATGAACTGTAGCTTGGGTGAAACTCTGTTCATGAGAAAGTAAAAATGAATAGAAACGAACGGACAAAAGGGGATGGGATAAGGAGCAGACCTGGATAGGCGCATTATAAACATTTCTTCTTCTTCTTCTTCTTCTTCTTCTTCTTCTTCTTCTTCTTCTTCTTCTCATTAAATCATTATCATTAATTATCATTATCATTATCATTATTACTATTACCGTTACTATTATTATAATTATACTACTATGATAATTATTATATTCTTTATAATTTATCTTTCCATTTCTATATTTATGCATCTTCAGAATTGGTTATTAGATCAGTGTTATCTATTGGAACTGGACTACTTTTTCTTAGTTTCTGTGGCGAAAATGAGTCTGCAAAGCAGGATATTCAAAAAAAACTTGTCTTGCCTCCACTGACGAAACTTCATGAAGTGTACGAAGGCTCAGTTTGTTTCGTAATTGAAACAACGAGCCTATCATCGTTGAAACAGTTATGGAGGAGCTACAAGGACGGTTCCTTGAAGAAGAAATTCCAGAAAGTCATCAATGAGATTGACGAAGTAAGAAAAGTGACCCAAGGAACAGAGGTTGATGTGACAGTTGAGATTGATGAAGAGGAGTACCGTGAAGCATGCTGGGTACTGGTGCTGGCAGAAATTGAACAAGGTATGTGAGCTTATCATTTACCACCTGTTCTTTTATTCAAGAGCAAGGCTGTATTACCAATTGTGGTCAAAGACTTGGCCTTCACTTTATCTGATTATGAAGTTATATTATGTATATTTGTGTTAATCTGTATCGCAGCCGAAGTTGAACAAGACTCAAGTAAGAGTATCCAAAGACCGCGTCGTCATTCGTTGTCATGCGAACAAGATTTTTTGCCAACATGTGACAAAACACGATTCTCTTGGACAGCTTTGAAGGAAGCAGAAAACAAGCTGGCGAGAGAGACAAGACGAAGAATATATGTAGAGAAGGAAAACGAAAAGTTAAGGCAAGTGAAAAGAAGGTTAGAGGAGGAAAATGAAATTTTAAAACAAAATATGAAATCGTCGAAGGAAATTGAAATGTTATTAAGGAAAAAGATGGAGTGCGAGGAAAAACAGAGAATACAAGAAAAGGAGGAAGATGAATGGTTAAGGCAAGAGATGAAATTAGTAAAGGAGAGATATGAAAAGTTAAGGGAAAAGATGGAGTACGAGGCCGAAAAACATAGAATACAAGAAAAGGAGGAAGATGAATGGTTAAGGCAAGAG